AGAGTTTGGGATTTAGGGTTTATGGTTATCCCCATATTTAACCCCTGTAAAATATAATCCGTATAGTAGTTTCCATTATACCTATATATAGCCCCCATATATTATTATCCCCATATTAGGTTCCATTTCCTTTGCCATTATCCCTATATAACCCTATATAACACAATCCGTATAATACTTTCCATTTCCTCTTTCATTATCTCTATATATATATACTTAAATCCCCTATAGAATATAATCCCTATAGTACTTTCCATTTCCTCTTCCATTATCCCTATATATATATATATATGAAAATCTCTATATCATATAATCCTTATAGTAGTTTCCATTTCCTCTTCAATGTTCCATATCGTAAGCTCTACACCCCTAAGCCAGGCACCCAGCCTCACGTACCAAGCTGAATGCGCATGCTCGGGCGTGAAGGTTGCAAGCTACGGTGGGCCCATGCTTCTCGGGCTTTTGGGTTTAGGGTTACAGCGTTCAGAGGGTTTGGGGCTGACGTGTTGTTTATGGGTTAAGAGGTTTAGGGATCTAGGTGTTAAGGACATATTTGGATCCCAACGTGCTAATCGTGAGCATAAAAGATAGTGTCCATTTTCTTTTTGTCTTTCTATATGTTTCCGTTATACCGCTGTTCGTGGATGCGGGATCACCTGCGATTTTGGCCTTTTTGGGGGTGAGGGACGTTTAACCCTAAACCCTAACGCAGTCTTGTCTAGTAAAGGGCAACATGGCGGACTTTGTCCCAGGAAGCAAAGCCGCCTCTAAGATTAACAGGTATGCATTAAGGGGTTTAGGGTTTAGGGCGTTATAGGGGCAACATCCGCTTATCACCCATATCTTGTGGAATAAGAGGTCCCCAAACCCTATTGACCTATCCCCTATATTGCTTTTTGCTTTGCCAAACGTGGTCCAAAGGTCCAAAGCGTTAGGGTTCAGGATGATTGTGCAAACAAAAGAACTTGAAGTTCTTTGTAGTGTGGGTCACGATTGTTGGGTGTGTATACAGAGAACCCATGGACGGACTGTTTATAGTGAAAGGACTTCGGTGACCCTGGCGTGAAAATTCGGACCTTCTTCCAGTCACGTGGTAGTCATGGTGTCCTGATTTCAGGGGTTGGGGTTACCGAAGTCCTCTCCCTAGTCTTACGGCTAGCTGAAGTCTGGACAAGCAAGGCAGATTACGAACTGCCATTGCGTCGCATGCCGTGCTGCAACCGGACACTCGCACGCCATTTGGGCTGCGTACCCGCTCGCACGGACGGTTCTGACAATTAGCAGCCCGCTGCGTGTTTTCCGACTCACCGATGAGGGTGCCAACCGTTACTTCTGTGGAGGCTGCGGCTGCAGTGTGGCAATGTTGCACCTAGGTTGGCCCTGAGCATACAGTTTTTTTTAGCTTTTTGTGTGGGGTGTGGCGCGTTTCAAGGGTTGCGGAGAAGGCCTTGCCTCCAACAAATGCCCCCAATAGACTAATAGAGTACCATCACTTATATACATATGTTACATATCTATATATATATATAGAGGAATGCTTTTCTTACTAGGGAGGTGGAGTGGTTCTATAAGGAGGAGGGGAAGTCGTTCTGTTGGTTGCATCCCGGGAAAATCATCATGGCCCACAGAGGTGGCCATAGCCTAAGCTCCACACCCTCAACCCTAAACCCCAAGGCCTAAACCCTAAACCCCAAGGCCTAAATCCACAGCCTCGAACCCTTGGCCCAGTTGTGTAGTATTTAATTTGGGGATACTAGGGTTTAGGTTTTAGGGTTTAGGTACCCAATATATAGTAAGATTATATCCTCCTTTTGGGGTATAGTCTTTTATATAACCCTAAACCCTAAATCCTAAACCCCATATTATCTTACTAGGTTCAACCACCAAGAAAATGCTACTCAGGTACCACCTAAAGTCTGTTTGGCCCGAAGCTCACACCGTTTGGCTGTCAAAGCACTTCGCGGAGCGGACGGGTAGCTGCGACGAGGCGGGAAAGTCTTTGTGGAAGAATGTTTTTTTTTTTCAGTTTTCAGGTGTTTTGGGCCATAATTCTGCATGTTTTCGGGGGCTAGTGTAGATTCAGGGGTTGTGGTTTGGGGCATAATTATGATTTGGGGCCGCTTAAAGGGTTTATCATCGATTTAATGTTGTAGTCATCATAGTCTTCTGGTGACACTCAGCAATTATAGCTGTTTAATCATCGTCCAACCCGATCATAGACGGTATTAACTGCGATATGAGCTTTAAGCCATCCACCCAATGAAGCCCCAAACTCTACAGGACCGCGCCCCAACCCTTGTATCCCTAGACCAAAACCCTAAGCCCGCAACCCTAAATCCCTAAATCCCCAACTCTCATCCTCCTCGCTCGTATATGCCCCCTCCATACTATAAAGACCCCAGGATTAGAGGTCCATACTAGGTGCCCAGAGTTCCAATTTCAGTTCGAGGTCCACATCTTCAATGAGAATTCCCCAACTGATCCTGACGCGCCTTGCGACGCCACCGGGTTTGACGCCCTAATGTTCCCCAGTTTCGGGCTTTCGGGTTTATAGTCTGGGGTTCAGGGTTATTGTTTTTCTATATCCCTAAATCGCATAGAAGCCTGGAGCAATACCCATATAAGAAAAATGAGATTGACGCCAAGCTTCTCTAAGACTTCTGTAGTCTGGGATGTCGGGGTTTGTGACTGGTTGTTGTGGAATAAGGATTTGAGATTGGGCTTCATCCAGATGTCTGCCTCGGCTCAAACCTTCAAAACCCAATCTTTTCCTCGAATATGCAAGGGCAAAAGATTCAACTTCAACCATAAATTCTAAACCTTAAAACATGAAAACCGCAAACGGCAAACCCTCGAATCCAGGGACATAAGCTCCTAAGACCTTAGACCCTTGAGCCCATTGGGACCCCCTAAAAGGGACCCCCAATTTTGGGAAACCGTCCAGCCCTAAACCCAAAACCCTACAAAAAAACCTAAAACCCTAAATCCCTAAACCCCAACCCCAAACCCCTAAACCCCTAAAACCCTAAAACCCTTCAAGCCTAAACCTCTAGAATCCACACCCTAAACCCTAAACCCTAAGCCCCAAATCCTAAACCCTAAGCCCTAAACCCTAAGCCCTAAACCCTAAACCCTAAGCCCTAAGCCCTAAACCCTAAGCCCTAAACCCTAAGACCGTAAACCCTATCCCCTTATAACACCCTACAAACCCTCAGGCAGCTACAGGAAGGGCAAGCCCGAAAGCAAATGTATCCCTAAAAGCCCATAAGTTCCAAACCCCAAATCCTAAACCCTAAGCCCCAAACCCTAAGCCCTAAACCCTAAACCCTAAGCCCTAAACCCTAAACCCCTAAGCCCTAAACAAACCCCTAAGATCCACCACGCCAAGGCAGAGCCCCTCCCTGCGGAGAAGTTTGCCATGCCACCAGGGCCGCGGCAAGATCAGGCAATTTTATAATGGAGAATCAAATGGAAAAGAAAATGGAAAATGACATGGAAACTGGGATTATATAGGGGTTGTTTGTGTAGTATTTAGGGATCAGGCAGTTGTTTTGCTTCAATGGGTTTAGGGTTTGGGGTTTATGTTTAGGGGCAATTTTATGGGTTTCCATGAATTTGGGGTTTAGGTTTTGGGGTTTAGGTTTTAGGTTTAGGTTTTAGGGTTTTAGGGGTTCAGGGATCAGGCAGTTGTTTTGCTTCAATGGGTTAAGGGTTTAGGCTTTAGGCAATTTTATGGGCTTCCATGGGTTTGGGGTTTAGGTTTTGGGGCTTAGGCTTTAGGGTTTTAGGGCTTATAGTTTTGCTTCAATGGGTTAAGGGTTTAGGGTTTGGGGTTTATGTTTAGGGTATAGCGTTTAAGGCTTAGGGCTTAGGGTTTTCCGGGTTTAGGGGTTCAGCGGTTTAGGGCTTCCATGGGTTTAGGGCTTAGGGTTTAGGGGTTTAGGGTTGGTGAAAACTAGCAAGAACCCCCCTTAATAGCCACGACAATACAGGGTTTAGGGTTTAGGGTCTAAACTCCTGCTTTCCCCCTTCATAACAGGGCTTAGGATTTAGAGTCTAAACGCCTAGTATCCCCCTTGATAATTTCTAAAATAGTCCCAAGTCTAATCCTCTTTTAACCCCCTATTAAGGAGTGCAGACTATAGGTCATGCAGGGGTGATAGGTTGCTGGTTCAAGGTTTAGGGCTGATAGGGTTGTTGAGGACAAAACAGGCAACAAAGCAGGCAAATTCTGAGAATAGAGTTTGAGCTTCCTTTCGTGGGGCTATAGGGTTATTGAGGGGAAGCAGAGGGTTAGGTTTCAGGCTTTATAGTCTAAACTCCTTAAAGGGGGTTATATACGGGATCATGTAGGGGAGCATTATAGGGTTTATAAGGGGGATACTAGGAGTTTAGATTAAGGCTCATATAGGAAAAACTAGGCTCAGGTCTTCGGGCATCAAAAGGAGTGGTTGGGCTTGAGTATGGCAAATCCAATGGAAAAAGAACAAGGAAAGTATCATGTAAACTGGGATTACAGGGAGATCTTTAAAGTCTAGAGGGCTAGGGTCAGAGTCCATAATCATGACCCAAAAGTACTTGGCCTTAACTGGCAGGACTACATGCTGAACCTCCGTGGGGCCTCCCGGGTAGCCCTAAGCCTTAAACCCTAAAGTCCTAATCAGTGATTAGGAGTGCCACCAAGAAGGCATCATTCATCCTATTGCCCCATATAACCCATATAACCCATATGAGCTATAGTCTAAACTCCTTAAAGAGGGGTTATATAGGGGATTATTTAGGGAAGTTTTATAGGGGTCAGGAAGAGGGATGCTAAGAGTATAGACTACAGCTCATACATAGTGCTTATGTGTATTCAGGTGGCCCCCATTTTCCATACAGCCCCCATAAGATACCAGGGTCCCCATAACGGCTCCCGCTTATAATCGACAGCCCCATGGGTTGCCACTACTATTGCCATACTTGAAGAATCCCCCCAACTAGGATCACTCAAATGATGCAGGCTACATGCCTTCATCCAAAGACTGGATGATACTAGGCTCCCTGAAATGATGTAGGGTACATGCTTTAACCAGAGGCCTAGATGATACTAGGATGCCTGAAATGATGTAGGGTCTATGCCTTAACTAAAGGGTATGGTGCTCCCTGATTCGCTGTTGTTTAGCCCAAATCCCCTAACCCCCTAAACCTCAAACCAAAATTCCTGCACTAAAGACTATTGGGATGGTTGGGTTTTCCGTTTTGTTTCCAGGCAGCCACCCAGAAACCTTGTTTGAGGTTCGGAGTACACGGGTAATGGTGGCTCGGGGTCAGCTTGTAGGGTTGACAGGCTTGTGTGTAGCGGTTAAGGTTCTAGGTTAAGGCTTTGAAGTTTGCTTGCGCATGATACAAGAAGAGGTATTCTCAGGCGTTTGGTTGGTGAGTGTGTTTAATATTGTACCGAAGGTGCCGCATTGTTTTACGTGTGTGGCGTGCTACATCGCACCCAACATACCAATTTGCTGATACTTATAGACCCGCCCAGTCGAGGCCCAGTTTCTTTCATGAAGCGTAGGCTTCGAATTTCACCTGTGGCAACAGTTGTCGAACCCGAGCCCTGCGAAGCCTAAATCCTAAACTTGGAACTGTGAACCCTAAACCCTAAACCATGAGCCATGGTCGAAACTCCTAGTATCTCCCTTACTAGGCCCTATAGTGGTCCCTTTCTTCTCCCCAATATAACCGGCCCCCTTTTATGCTCACATGTCTTTGGCCAGGGCGCTGTCTTACCTGTGGCCCAGGGCGGCCTGGTAGATGTTTCCGTGTAGGCCCAGTGAAGGCACTAGGATTATCTGAGTTTAGGGTTCAGGGGCTAGTGTTTTGGTTGGATGGTTTCAGCGGGTTGAGAATTTTGGTTGTAGGGTATAACAGGGTCAGGTGTGGGAACAATGTCTGTCTTTCAGCCCCCTGTGCTTCCTAAAGTCTTCCTAGCACTTTCGTGACCTGGGACACTTGGACACTGCACTGTTGGGCTTCCTTGTGCTCTTCCGCTGGATACATCAAAAATCTTTAATGACCCTATCTGCCTGGAGTGTGATGGTAGTACAGTATAGTAAAGGATACAGATATTGCAGGATGACTTGGCATCACATGCGCCATAGTCTAAACGCCTCAAAGGGTGTTATGTACGGGATTACGATACAGGTTATTAAGGGGGATACTAGGAGTATAGATTATGGCTCACATCGAGCCGCTAATTATCTTCTTACAGTGGGGGTTTCCCAAAATTAGGGGTACCCTTTTGGGGGTCCCAAGAGAGCATTTTGGTGTCTATATTGGGGCCCCCCGTATTTAGGGAAACTACCAGTACTACAAGGGGCTAAGTTCCACGGTGCCTGGAGCTTTGAATCAGGGCGCGCTTCTTACGCCCTTGGAACCCCTATGATCCATATGAGTAGTACTTTATTTGGGGATACTATGGTACCCAATATAGGGTAAGACTATATCCTCCTTTTTGGGTATCGTANNATTTTATATAAGGAATATATTCTTAACACTACTCATATAGTGAATAATTCTCAATAAAACCCAGTCTACTCCTCCCTGAGCCTTTAAGCATTATGTCATGTCGGAGAACATAACAGTGCGATGTAAGACGACATGTAATTTGTAACTAAGTAGTGCATCTAAAGTAGCATCAGGCCCTGTGAGGGGCTTCAATGGGAATTCAATAATGAAGGTATTTGGGTTGCCCAAGCCCCTATAACCAGGACCTGAACAGAGCCACATGATAGAGACAGGGTCCCCTAAACCCTCAAACCCTAAA